CCCCCCCCCCCCTCCGCGTTGTGAGGTAAGGCCGACGGGCGGTTTTTCGCTATCTTCGGTCTCCAGGGGCCCTCACCGGGCCTCGGGGCCTCGGGGCCGTCGGGACGACGACGTGCGGTTTTTCGCTATTATCGGGGTCTCCAGGGGCCCTCACCGGGCCTCGGGCCTCGGGGCCGTCAGAAAGCCGGCCCCGGGGAAGTGGTCGAGGCCTCTGGGGTCGACGTTGCGAAACAATCACGACGTCGGGTGAAGAAAAGACCTTTACTCGGGCTCACTTAGGGCCTTTTTTTGGGGCGCCAGTAGGGGCCCAAGAGGAACCCTTTAGGGGCCTTTTCTCCCCCCCCCCGTTTAGGTCACCGGCCATTCCCGCCCGCCCAAGGGTTGCTTCTGGGGGCCTCCTCCTGGGAATTCCTGGGGGCACCTTGGGCCAAGGGCACTTGCAGCAGCCACCGAATCAGAAGGGGTGCATCGCCGTGGACTTCCCGCCCCCGGCGTCGTCCTGGTCGTCCCCTCGGCCTCGCCGCCGTCGTCTCCGCCGTCGTCCCCGCCGAGCCCCGGAGGAGCAGCGGAGCAGGGGCGACGGCGGCGCGGAGCCGCAGGCGCAGGGGGACGCCTTGGCCGACCAGGAGCCCCCGCCCGCAGCAGCCCCCCCCCCTGCGCCTCGTCGCCGTCGGCGGCGGGGCGATCTTCGCCACGCCTGCGCTTCCTCCGTCGCACGGGTTGATTTTTCTTCTGCGCACCCGCCTCATTCCGTCCCCGCCTCCTCCTCTTCCTCCACCTGCTCCCCCTCCTCCTCCTTTTCTCCTCCTCCTCCTCCTCTTCCTCCTCTTCCTGCTCCTCGTTCTCCTCCCCCTTTCTCGTCCTCCAGCTCCTCCTCCCCTGCAGCCGCCGAGTGGAGAAGAGGAGGCCGCTTTCCATCGTAGAATCTAGGCCTCTTAGGTGGGGTCGGAACAGATGGGATCGGAGGATCGCGCCGCATATCGCCGATGAATCGGCGATGCGGCTCGATGTGGAGCACGATTTTTTCCACGCCGACGTCGCCGATGTATTGTCGACGTCGCTGATGCTTCGCCAATGCACCGCCGATGCATCACCTATACATCGGCGATGCGGCATGATTCTTCGACCCCAACTTCGCCGACCCCATCTAGGAGGCATCTATCCCCTCGTACATGGAGTTTACCTATTGGGCGGGCCGGCCTCCACTGGCGGGAGCTCGCCTCCCTCGTGGTGGAGGCGCCTGCCTGCCCTGAGGTGGCAGGATGTGTTTCGTTAAGAGAGAGAGAGAGAGAGAGAGAGAGAGAGAGAGAGAGAGTTATGCCTCCCCTCGGCCTCGCTCTGAGGCTCCGCCGCTTCCTCCCCCGTCTTCTCTGCCTAATTCAAGCTTCGCGCGGCCCGCTTAGCTTCGACCGGAAGAGGTGCGCTCTCGACCCGCGGATCAAAAAAGTGTTTCGTCAAGAGAGAGAGAGAGAGAGAGAGACGAGGAATACCCCGAGACACGGGAGCTGCACTGGTCTCGCTCCAGGCGTTTACCCTCAGCCTCGGGCCCGAGGACCATCACCGATCGGTCCGGTTCGGCAGGTGGCACAGGAGAATTGGGTCCTGGGCTCGTGCCGTTTTTTTTTGTTTGTTTTTTGTTTTTTGTAGTTTTGTTTTTTTCGCAACGTGGGCTCTCAGGGCAGGAGGAGTTCGGGCAGGAGCAGGACCAGTGTAAACCCAAGACTCATCAACGATGTTGGAATCCTCCCCCCTTCCAGCTCCCTCTTCACAGACCCCTACAAGGGTTCATTTCCACAGGGAGTTGTCCCGTTGAGGGACAACCGTGTGAACATCCTGAAACGTGCCAAAACACGCCATGATTCAGCCTGTCTGTTGCGTCTTGGCGGTCTTGGCGATCCTGAATGCAGCCAGAAAGCCCTGTCTGTGACTTCAACACCGCAAATCAACCTAACTAAAGCGCCCTGCTAGTTTTTCAGTTTCAGGTTCACAAGCGGTAAGGAAGTCTCAGGCGAAACGCCCAGTCCGCTCTTGCGACTGGCCTCGGGGTGCGGCAGTACTATCATTCGTAAGGAAATGGAATGGAGGAAAGGAGGAGGAGGAGGAGCAGGAGGAGCAGGAGGTTCAGGAGGAGGGAGGAACATGTGAATGAGGATGAGGATGTGGATGACGATGACGGTGAGGATGTGCTGGGGGATGAGGTCTCCGTGTCTTCGTCCATCCTCTCTTCGAGTATTCAAAGGTCGCCCGCCCAAACAAGTCGATTCCCTCCTTTTCGGGACTCGAGACCCCCTGGCGCTGCGGAACAAAAAAACACTCGACTGAGCGCATTGGACAACGGCGGCCCGAGACCGCCAAGACATGTTTAGGGATGAATGTAGGCCTCCTCGAAGGGGTCCGAGTAGACGGGGTCCGACAATCGCACCGCATCCCCGATGCATCGTGGATGCGGCTCGATGTGGAGCCCGTGCTTCCCCATGCCGACACCCTTCTACTCCGACCCCGTCTAGGAGACTCTAATGAAACACCGGGCGAGGGAAGTGGTCGAGTCGCGACCTCTGGGGGTTCACAGTGCCAACAGATCACACCACGGTTCAGTTCTGCGGCCCTCTGCTCCAGGCATGAAGAGAACGCCCGCCCAGACACATCGATTCTCTTTGATCGTTTTCTCGTGCATTGTTTTGCCGATCGGCGCGGGCCCTCGCCGCCCCCCCTCCCCCATCATGGAGTAGACCTCGGGTGTTTTTGGCGCCTACTTCGAGCAGGTGGAGTCTCCCCCACGGGACGCACTGTTGCAAACAGGTGCATTCAGCATCGGCCCGGAGCCGGACGCCCCCGAGTCGTCGAATGCCGAATAAGAAAACCTTCACCCTCCTGCTCGAGAAAGGACGTTCGAACAAGAACAACGACCATAGACATACGCTCTCAGAGATCCGCGCGGCTGTCTCTTCTCGGCGCTGGAGTCTCCCGGCGCCGCCTCTGGCGCCGCCGCCGGCGCCGCCGCCGGCGCGCCTGTTGGGCCAGGTGCTGGGCGTCCAGAGCCGGATCCAAGACATCTGCGCGGACGTCCGAACAATATATGTTTGTGCTATTATGAGGGCGATCTCCTCGCCCTTTAGCTACTCTTCCTGGCCCTTCTCATGCGTCCTCTGGCCAGAGCAGGTACAGTCAGGACGCTCAAGACAGGGGGCCGCATGCGAACCCTGCCCCCCCCCCACGATATTTCTGAGGGAGAGGGTGGGGCTCATTTCGCTCGGGAGCTCCCGGGCGAGATGAACCCCACCCTCCCCCTTCAGAAATATCGTGGGGGGGCGGGGGCCAGGGCTCGCACGCGGCCCCCCGCAAGACGCTGGCACAGGGACCGCTCCGCGTGCACGAGGGGCCCCCGCCTCCCGGCCGTTGCCCTGGGCTCGGGTCGGGGGCCTCGCTCGTGGCCGAGGCTCGCCGCGGCCCAGGCAGGTGCAATGCGCTCGCGCCGTGGCCGGCCCCGTGGTGGTACGGTGCCGTCTTTGATGCATGCTCCGCGTGCGGATCACGTATTGAACATGCAGGGATTTAGTATCAAAAGCAACGATGAGTTCATGCATACATTCATTCATACATTGATCATGTGTTAGAAATCTCATTTTAAACAATCCAGTGTGAAAAAATGCCCTGTACGGTGAGTGCAGATCGTCTAGCGAAAAACTAACGCCGCCAACAGCACAAGCTTTCAGAGGTCCGCTTGGATCTCTTCAGGTCGGCGCCAATGAATCTGGATTTGTGTTCTTTCCGCAAGGGAGGAGGACGATCGATGAGGGAAAGGTGGTATGATGGCCGATGTTTCTTGGATCTCTGTGGGGAGAGTTTCGGCCCCTGTAGGGCTCAGATACCCTTGGACAACATAAAGGCTTCCAGAGACCTTCGGGCACCTCCTCGTTTTTCTCGTTCCCTTCCCTCTCTGCCTTCCCTCCGCCTCGGTCCTCCTCCATCTCCTCCCCTGCTCCTCCTTTTTCCCTCCTCGTGCTCATCTAGATGAGCAGGAAGACGGAGGAGGGCGGAAGAGGATAAGGAAGACGAGGGAATGTGCATCTTCCCTTTTCGTCCGTCCTCCTCCTCCTTTTCTCTTTGCTCGTCCTCTCACGTCCTACAGCTTAGCTCCCCCCCTCTCAGACTCCACCCTCTGCTGATACCCCGTCCCTCACCCACTTTTTACTCCTCCTCCTTCTTCCATCCCTCGCTTCTCCACCCTGGCCTCCTCCTCTTCCCCTTCCCCCCCTGGCCTCTTATACTTCCCTCTCCCCTACCCCCTTCTCCCGCTCCGTGTGCATCGGCAGCGCTCCTGATGGAGACCGATCGACAGTTGTCGACCGTTCTCCGTCTCCCTCTCCAGAATCACCCCGCGAGACGCAGGTCGAGTAGAGGTTAACCCCCCTTTCCTTTGAGGGTAAACTCCTGTCTGGTCGATCTGATCCGTTATCGATTCGGGCCGCCTCGATCCCATTCGGTTCCGAGATGTTCCGAAATGTTCCGACGATCTGATGCTGTCCAATGCTTCCACGGCGCTGTTGTGCCTACTGGCGCGTTCTTCCTGATTCGATAGCGACTTCGTGTCGATGCGGCCCGATGCGTGTATTCCGATTCGATCCGGTGTCTCGATCTGAAGTTGGCCGATACTTCCTCGTCGTCGTCGTCCTCGTCCTCCTCCTCCTACTCCTCCTCTGGAGGTCTCTGCAGGACGTCCCCGGAGGCCCCCCACGCCTCTGTGGCCTCGTCGGGCGTTTGCGTAATGGGGTACGCTGTTTGCGGCACCTCGTCTTCAGGACCCCATCTCTCAGGACCCCATCTGTGAATTGCTGATTAATTCTGGGGGGTGAGGAGAGGTGCACCCTTTTGGGTCCCAAGAGGCCCTGGAGGGGACCCGTGGGGCTGCAAAATAGTCGCGACGGGTGCAATGTTCCTTCCCCCCCCCCCCCCCCCCTTTATCGCCCCCCCCACTACAGTGCCGTTTTCCATACATGCTCCGCGTGCGGATCATGTATTAAGCATGCAGGGATTTAGCATTAAAAGCGACAATGAGTTCATGCATAGATTTATTCATAAATTTATCATGTATTAAGAATCCTATATTTTAAAACATCCCATGTGTTTAAAACTGCCCTGTAAGCAGCACCCACAATTCGACGTGCATGCCGGTTAGGCGCGGTGTCCCGTTTCGGCGCCAGCCGCTCTTGCCTTCCTTTCCACCATCGGCCCGCGGCGGTCGCGGGCGCCGGCAGCAGGCATGCCCAGCGAACGTTGTCGTCGTCGTTGTCGTCGTCGTTGTCGTGGCCCTGGTCGTTGTCGTCGTCAGCGTGGTCGTGGGCGTCGTCGTCGTCGTCGTCGAGGCCGCAGCGTCGGTCGTCGTCGTCGTGGCCCTGGTCGTCATCTGTCTTCGTCGTCGTGTTGGTGGGTGGCGACGACGTGGTCGTTAGGGTCGCCGATGTCGTTGTGGTCATTGTCGTGGTCGTCGTTGTCGTGGTTCGTCGCCATCGTCATCGATATCGTTGTTGTCGTTGTCGACGTTGCTGACGCTGTTATCGTCGTGGTTGCGGTTTTCGTCGATTTCGACGTCGCTGTCGATGTCGATGTTGTCATCGTTCTGGTCGCGGTCGTGTTTGCGTCGCCACGCAAGGACGCTTGGAGCAAGGAGTTCTTGCAGAGCTACGAGGACCTATCGGTGACGTGGGAAGTGGGTGCAAGCGGGGTGGCAGGATGATGATGGCGTTGTTGTTCTTGTTGTTGTCGCTGTTGTTGTATTCGTTGTTGATGACGAACACACTCACTGGTGCCCGGTGGCTGAGCCCCCCCAGCAACACAGCAACACAGCAACAGCGCAACAGCGCAGCAGAGCTTCCCACTCAGCAGCAGAGCAACAGAGCCACAAAGCCCCCCCCGAGCAACAGAGCAACAGACGACAGAGGAACGACGCAACAGACAACCTAATGAGAGCCTCCCCCAGCACCAGAGCAACAGAGCAACGATTTCGGCGTACCCCTCATATGCTTCGTGGCCCCACAGGGGGCTCTGCCAGAGACTTCGGGCCAATTTCTACACAACCCGCAGTGGTTTCGTGGCCCCACAAAAGGTGGATTCACCGATTTTTCCGGGCCGATTTAGGCGCACCCCTCACACGTTTCGTGGTCCCACAGTGGCTCCACCGAAGGCCTGAAGACCATTTCTTTTCTAGCCTCATACGTTTCGCGCCCCCACAATGAAGGGGTTCCGCCGAGGGCCTCGGACCGATTTCGGCGCACCCCTCACACGTTCTGTGGTCCCAAAAGAAGTTTCAGCGAACGCCTCATGCCCTTTTTTAACACAACGTCACACATTCCGTGGTACTTCAAAGGGGCTCCACCGAGGGCTCCTGGCCGATGTCGGCGCCCCCCTCACACGTTTCGTGGTCCCAAAAAGGTGGTTCAGCGAACGCCTCAGGCCATTTCCAACACCATCACACATTCCGTGGTACGACAACACCGAGGGCTTCAGCTCGATTTAGGCGCACCCCTGTCACGTTTCGTGGCCCCGCATCAGATGGTTCCACTCGGTCGATGTCAGCGCATCCCTCACACGTTTCGCGGCCCCACAGTGTGCTTCAGCGTAAGCCTCACGCCATTTTCAGTACAACCTCACCCATTCCGTGGTAGCACAAGGGGCTCCACCGAAGGCATCGGGTTGCTTTCTGCGCACCCATCACACGTTTCGTGGCCCCACGAGGGGGTGTCGCCCGACGGCCTCGCGCCCATCTCTTCACAATCCTCACGCATTTCGCAGCTCGAAAAAGAGGCTCCTCCGAGGGCCTGGGGCGGTCGATTTCGGCACGCCCCATCACACGGTTCGTTGCCCCACGTAAGGGGGGTATTCATCTCCTTCTAGCCATTTTGGCAGGAGGAGGATGACGAGGAGGGGGAGGAGGAGGTGGAGGGAGAGGGGGAGATGGCGAGGGGGAGGAGGAGGAGGGGAAGGCGGAGGAGGCGGAGAGGGAGGGGGGAGGAGGAGGAGAAGGCGCTCCACCGAAGGGGGGCTCTGCCGAGGGTCCGTGGCCCTTTCCCTGCAGCATTCGCATCCCGTGGCTGCACAAAAGGGCTCCATCTTCGCCATACACCTCTTCCTCCTCCTCCTCCTCTTCCTCCTCCTCCTCCTCCTCCACCGAGGGCCTCGCCCTGCTCTCGACGGGGCGGCCTTCCCGCCAGGAGGCCGGATGCCCGTGCCGTGGGCGGCCTGGGCGAGAGCGGCATACCAAGAGGAGGAGGAGGGGGAGGAGGAGGAGGAGGAGGAGGAGGAGGAGGGGGAGGAGGAGGAGCCGTCTTCCCAGCACTCGCTCCTGCACTTGGCATCGCTCGGGCGTGTGCATTTTTCCTTCGGCGAGGACCTTCGAGGAGCATCCTCGACCATCTGGCCGAAAAAAACACGCACGAAGCAGAACAAAAAAACGCAGGACATAGACGTCCGAGCGATGCCGAGTGCATGGCCGGACGCGCCGGCCCTCCGCACGCGTATCAGCTGGCGGGTGACTCTCACGTCTTCCGCACGGGAGTCCACCCGTGTGTGCGTTTCCAGCGTCCTGGTGTTTGTTCCTCCCCCCTCCGTTTCTCCTCCCGTTGACTCCTTTCCTTCCCCTTTTTGTCCCCTCCTATATCCTATCCCATCCCCCTCTCCCTCCTCTTGCCCTTCGCTCCTCGTATCTCCTCTGCTCCTGCTGTCCCTGCTTCGCTCTTCCTATTCCTCCTTCTTCCCTCGTCCTCCTATCCCTCCTTTGCACTCTTTCCCCATACCGCCTCCGATGAATCTCCCATCCTACGAACCCCTCCTCTTATCCATCTCTGCTCCCGTCCGCCCCTCCTCCTATTTATGCCTCTCCTTTCCATCCCTCCTCCTATGCTTTCCTCGGGCCCGCTCCCTTATCCTACCTCTCCCTTCCCCCATTATCCCTCCCTCTTACACCCCACCCCCTATCATAGCCGTCCCATCATAGCGTGTATGCGTGTGCCTGCTGAGGTGACACCGATAACCGTAAGGGCGGGATCCAAGTTTGTGCTGTGTTTGGTGCTGTGTTTGGTGCTGTGTTGCCGTGTTGCTGTGTTGCTGTGTTGCTGGGGGGGGGGCAACAACGGGGCACCAGTGAGTTTTCGCCCTGGTGGCGAAAACGCGACCTGGCGAGTTGGGTCCCAGGCGCCAGCGTGTGTTTTCGCATTGTTTTTGTTATTGTTGGCGCCAGCCCCAACCTCCCCCCCACCCCGGCGCAACGCAACGCAACGCAACGCAACGCAACACACTCTACCCAGTGCTCTGAGGCCGCATGGGAGTCCCGAGTGGTCTTCTGGCACCCTACAGAATTTTGCGGGATCCGTATAGGGATCCCATAGGACCCTGTAGATTTCGTATATGAGTCAAATTGCAGACCTGAGGAGAAGGACGGGGTCGATGAGGAACAGGAGGACGAGGGCGCGGTGATGGAGTACGCGAAGCAATTTCAGAACGACGGGATGAGCGAAGGTGGAGTGAGGCTGGGGACTAAATCGAGAAGGATGGGGAAGAGAAGGAGGAACAGGACGAGGAGGAGGAGAAAAAGTACGAGGAGGAGCAGGGAGCAGGATGGAGGAGAAGGAGGGGGAAAGGAGGGAAAAAAGGAGGAGGAAGGAAGCGGGTGGAGCATGGCTGAGGTAAAATGAGGAGGACGAGGAGGAGGAGGAGGAGGAGGAGGAGATGGAAGAGGACGAGGACGAGGTTGAGGGAGATGCAGCAGGAGGAGGATGAGGAAGAGGATGAGGAGGAGTTTGCAATCCCCCTACGCGGATTAGCAGTTGCGGCAAGGGGCAGATTATGAGTGCCCTGGTCTTTCCCTGGTCCCTGCGCCAGCCTGGAGAGTGAGGTCCGAGACACAGTCCAGACAGTCGGGTGCAGGGGTCTGGCTCCCAGACAGGTCAGGGCGGGCCTCTCAATCGTAACAGTTCCTTGTGGAGACGGCAAGTAACAGGAGGGTATGACGAGACGCGTGGGCAGACGATAGAAGAGAGAGGATGGGAAAAGCTAGGAGGGAAGGGGACATGCTGGGGGACGTGTAAAGGAAGGGTTAGGTGAAGTGCGCGATAAGAGCACCACAGCCACCTCAAGCGGACGCTTCCCTCAAACCATACGGCGGTATCAATCCGGTGTTTTGTAGCACCGCCTCGGCCTGCGCCAGAACCCGAACGCGCGCCAAGCGCGCCCTTTCCAGTGCTGATTTATGAGAACGGCGCTTTCGGGTTTCGGGGACAGCTGCTAACAGTAGTCACGTCTTTAATGCGCATGTCTGGGAGTTTCCGAGGCTCGCTTTCTCTTGCTGAGTTACCGACCGCTACCGACCGTTACCGATTTTTGCGGCCGACCGTCACCGAACGATTTCATGCAAATTCTGAAGGTGGAAACCAGCATCATCATCATGTTCATCATCATCACCGCCATTATCATCACCACCAGCATCATCATCATCATCATCATCATCAGCATCATCATCATCATCATCATCATCATCATCATCATCATCATCATTCATCCATCATCACATCGTCAACTCATCACATCATTCATCATCATCATCAACATCATCTGATCATCACCAGCATCATCCATCAACATCATCATCATCGTCAACATATCATCATCATCACAATATCACCAGCAACATTATCATCATCGTCAACATCATCATTATCATCATCACATCATCATCATCATCATCATCATAATCATCATCATCATCATCGATCATCATCATCATCATCATCATCATCATCATCATCATCATCATCATCATCATCATCATCATCATCATCATCGTCGTCGTCGTCGTCGTCGTCATCATCATCATCATCATCATCATCATCATCGTCACCCGGCCCTGTATCGGAATCGCACCGAGGACGGCGAGGCCTTCGGCAGCTACGGCGTGAGCCTGGGCGACTGACCGCCGAGCGGTCTCTGCTTCTGCGGGGCCCGTGAGCCTGGCCCTCCCGCGCGGTCTCGCTCGAGGGAAGGACACGATGACCATGGCCAAGCAGGAGGAGGAGGAGGAGGAGGAGGCGGAGGAGGAGGAGGAGAAGGAGGAGGGACGCAGAAGGATGATGAGGAGGAGGAGGCGGAGGAGAAGGAGTCGCGCGGTCTTCGCCGATTTTGGTCGCGGTCCATGCCGGCTGTCGCCGGTTCGCGAGCATGATCCGCGATTTCAGCATGCCCAAGATGGAGCATGGCCACGACCGACACCGACGTCTCCGCGTTCAGTCTTGGATGGTCTTTGTTTCCAATCCCTGCTGTCATTGTAGTTGCGGCGATCTTTGATTAGGTTTGTTTCTCCGATTGCCGAATCTGGTTTGTGATCGGCTGGAGTGTGCGGCGCACCATTTGCACATTGGCGTGCCCGTGCCAATCAGGCTTCCCATTTTGTGTAGATCCTCAGGGAGCTTGCACTTGGATGCGCAGTATGTTTTTGCGCACTGAGTGCCGGCGCGTCGATTCTACCAGAGGATTCCACGCAGTGGTCTGTCAAGGATGGCTGGCACCTTCTGGTCTAGTGCAGCCATGTTGGCAGTTCGTTTAGTGTGTGCTTGCAGGATGTATGGTCGACCTGACACGTCTGCCCATCTGAAGTTTTTGGCCGCTCCCCCAGACCTCCGACGTCGTGATGTTTCGCGCCCGCGTGCCCCAGAGCCTCTCTTCCGAGGAGCACGGTCATGATATTGATGCGTCGCAAGATTTCCATTATGCGCTGCATTCCTAAGATTTCCGCATGCTCCACTCGGGCTGCAGAAACCAGGGCCGCACGAGACTTTGGAATTCCTGGAACGATTCGGAGCCCATCGTATCATGATATCTCGATCCCTATCGCGTCCTATCTCGATCCCTTCCCCATCTTGATCTCTATCCCGATCCCTATCTCGTCCTATCTCGCCCGAATCTCGTCCGATCTCGTCCTATCACGGTCGTCCTTCCTCGATCCCATCCCTCACCAACCTGGGGTTGTTTTTCTCGGCGGCCCCGGCCGGGGCCCGCAACCGGTCTCTCGGCCGAGCGTTTCGGCCCAGCAGGCGCCAGAATCGAGAGCGAGGAGAAGCGCCAGGAAACCGAGAAACACCACAACGGAGCTCCGCCCCAACCGCCGAGGATGTCGGAGCTCAAGAGACGGGTGTCAGTGCAAATTGGGGACATCGAGCCACAAACAACGGCATAAAGATAAACTTTTCGCGTTCCGCGCAGACTTCTCGGATCCGCGCTGGGGCCTCCCTGGCAGCGCCTCTGGCGCCGCCCCTGGCGCGCTCCGCGCGCTGGGGAGGAAGGGTCCAGCGCGGACGCGAGAAATCCGTGCGGAGCGCCAAAAGTTTATGGTTACCGTTTTTTCTTTTTTTAGGTCAGCCAGAGCGTTGGATCTTGCAGGATCCTGCAGAGCCAGGGGTTCACTGACCTGGGTCAGCGTGGAGGATCCTGCAGGATCCTGCAGGATCTAGCCCATATCGGCACGCCCTCCGCATGCTTCCTGGCCCCCTCAGGAGATCCCTCGAAGGCGATACCCGCAGCGACGCTGCTCACAACTGCATATGACTTGGGTCTGTCGCCTGGGGAATATACTGTTTTGCTTGTTGGTCGAGTGGGAGCCAACAGCGAAGGCATGCGCCGATCCCGGGCTCCAGCAGAATTTCCCATCTGGACCTCAGTAAGACATGCGCGGACCCCAGCGTCCCGCTGCATTATCACATCTTTTGCAGTTTTCTTCAAACGAAACAACATGCGGAAGCGCGCCAGTCCAAGCCATCAGCGGGATTCTGTCATGTTTGATTATTCTCGCAGTTGGAATTCAAATGTCTTTGTGCTTACTTATTCAATTGGTATACGTGTTTTTATACGTTCATACACTTTCCATTTACATGCGGTATACGTTGTGTGTAAGGTTCGTGTACGTTTCGCATGCGTATCGCAAATTGTTTGTGTACGGGTCGCATGCATGTCGTATGCGTTTACTCAAAGTTTCGTTTACGTGTCCTATACGTTTCGTTTACGGTTTGTAGACTATCGTATTCGTTTCGTATACGTTCGTGCACGTTGTTGTTTTGGAGTGCCTTGGACCCGTATGGGGTCGTCCTGGAGTGCATAGAACTTGCATGTCGGTTATCATAGGGCAGTTGGATGGTACTAGATCCCAACTGAGCGCTATGAGAGCTGGGCGACTCTCTTGAAGGAGCACCACTCGGGGGGCCTGTAGGGGCCAGCCAGGACTGCACGGGGCGACGCTCCGTGCGCATCCCGGCAAAGCCTTGCTAGTCAGTCGGAGGCGATGAATCTCTCCCTCCTCCTCCTCCTCCTTCTCCTCCCCTCCTCCTCCTTCCTCCTCCTCCTCCTCCTCTCTCACTCCTCCTCCTCCTCCTCCTCCTCCTCCTCCCCTCCTCCTCCTCGCCCACCTCCTCCCCCTCCTCCTTCCCCCTCCTCCACAATTACTCAATATGAATACTACTCTCCCTCTTCCCCCGATGGCGGCCTGAAAGTAGCCGACCCCCCCCGCGTCCTGCTTTTTTACACAGGATTCCCGGGAGTTTGGTTTTCGCATACATTTTTTTTCAAAATGCTGCTCTCGCTGAGGCGCCGGCCTCATTTTCGGGCCCCGCTCGTTCCGAATCGTGCTCCCGCTGCAGCGCTGGCCTCATTTCCGTGCTTCCGCTCGTTCCGAATCGTGCTCCCGCTGCAGCGCTGGCCTCATTTCCGCGCTTCCGCTCGTTCCGAATCGGGCTCCCGCTGCAGCGCTGGCGTC